TGCTTTTAATCTCCCCTTCCCTTCCTTCCTTCCCTCCCTCCTTTCCTCCCCGCCCCAGGCGAGCCCAGCCCGGCCAGATGGTGCCGGGAAAGGCGTTGCGCGAGATGGGATGCTCCAGAGACCCAGGTGGCTTCCAGGAGCAGGTGGAGAGCGGGGGGCGCTTTTCCCCCCATTGCAACGTTGATTCTCCAAGTTTCTCCTTTAAAAAGGGGCCCCAGGGATTTGGGGTTAGATCTTTGGGCTGGGATGCAGGAGAGGAGGAAGAGCCCCAGGCATCAAGCTCACCCCCCCTTTCTGCATTGTTGTTGCTGCTTTTTTAAATTCTCTGCACCTGGCCTACCTGGTAGGGCTGTTGTATACACAGCAGGTGGGGAGCGAGGAACACACACAGAGAGAAAGGCAGAGGACAGCTAAGGAAGGTGAACGTGCTTTCAGGGGAACAAATCAGGTAGGCACAGCTGGGCAAGGGCCCTTCTTTGGGGGGGTTCCCTTGATCTGGTTTGGGGGGGAAGTTGGTGTGTGTCTCTCACGGTAGGCACAGCTGGGCAAGGGCCCTTCTTGGGGGGGTTCCCTTGATCTGTTTGGGGGGGAAGTTGGTGTGTGTGTGTGTGTGTGTGTGTTAAAGGGCTATAACATTTCAAAGGGGTGATCAGAAATGCTGCAAAACTGCACAGAAATAAAACAAGGAGGAGGTGATGAAGGGGGGAAATGACCCAAAAATAAATTAAAAGTTGAAAAGGCTTGTGTTTTCTTTTTCTTTTTAACTCAATAATGTTAGCTGGGTTTTGCTTCTATGTTGTTGTTATCCTATCGCTAATAATAATAAAAATAATAAAAATAAAAGGAATAGTAAGAGGAATTAAAAGTAAATAAAGAAGAAACAGAGCCCAGGGACAAAAAATCCTTAACTGTTGGCTCTTTCTTGGGCCACTAAAAATATTAGGAGAGGCAAAACTTATTGTCCCACAGGGCTGGGATGAAGATGGCGGCTGAGTAAGGAAGAGAAAGAACAACAACAACAACAAAAAAACATCTCAAGGCTCCAGGCTGGAGGCTGAGAAGCAGGATCTGAAGATCAAGATGGAGTCCACAACCCTGAAGGATCAGGTGGAGGAGAGCTGGCAGGATCGGGTTTCACCTCTGGAGCTGCAGCGCCCATTGTCTTCCCCCCCCCCACTCTCTTTTAATGTTTGCTGCTTTGTCCCAGTGAAAGCATCTGTTTCTAGCCAGAAGCCAAAGCAAGGGAAAACAGGACCATCCTCATTCCAGCAAAATCAGGAGATAACCTTTATGTCAGAAGGCTTGGCAAAGGCAGTCCAATGAAGCCTTCGTGGAAGCGGATACTTGGGAGAGTTCCAGGCGCTGGGTCTCTGTCTGCAGAGCCAGAGGTTGGGAGTTCGATTCCCCCCACTAGGTGCCTTCTGGGAGAAGAGCCAGCCTGGGCGGCCTCGGGCAAAAACCGCACCGCCCCAGCGATGCCCCCACTTCTGAGTAGCCTCTATCTAGAAAACCCTGGAAAGGACAGCTCTAAGGCGGAACTGACTTGATGGTCCATTTTTCTTTAGAAGCAGCAGAAAGCTGGACCAGAAAGCGGATGGGGCAAAAAAAATAAGATACAAGGACTCGTCTGAAATATAGTGTTGAAGGAGAGCCTTACGGACTCCTTGGACCGCCAGAAAGACCAATAAGTGGGCCCTGGAACAAGTCAAGCCTAAAGATCCCCCTGGAAAGGGGCTAAACAAAGGCTGTCTGACTTTGAACAGACCCTGAGAAACCAGACTCGCTTGAAAAGACGATAATGCAGAGGGGAGTGGCAGAAAGTAGGAAAAGAGATCCTATGAGACTCATGGGTGTCCCTAGAGAAGCAATGGATAGACAGGCAAGGGCAGTCCTCCCTCCGGGCAGAGTGGCCCACATGCTGATCTTCCGCTGGTGCTTTGCCATCTCTGCCGGCTGCTTGGGGTGCCATTCGAGGGATGCCACGGAAAACTCTGAACCACCCAGTACCAGATTCCCTGCAGGACGATACGCTTCTCCCACTGAAAGGTCCCCTTAGGAGATGCTTTCCTGGGAGCAGAAATAAAACGACGGTTTCAGCAGCCTCGCCTTGGCTCTTCAGATGGGTGTAGATGGGACCAGGGAGCCCTGGATTCAAATCCCTGCTCAGTCAGGAAACTCGTGTGGTGACCTTGAGTCACTTCTTATTCTGTTGCCCTTTCTGTAAAGTCAGAAGCGGTGGCCACCACGTTCACGACTAGGAAGAAAGCTGAGATTAAAAATGTTAGAACTCTATTTTAAAAAAAAATGAGTTTGCATTTTCAGTTTTTGTTTTTCAGGTTAGGGCTGAACAAAATGTGACCCAGAGGTGTCATGCAGTTGTCAGGGCCAACTGAGGGTCATATTCCACCTTAAAAAACAAACAAACTACTCAAAACATCTTTTAGGAGGCGTGGGGCAATTTTGCTATGTTTGAAAAAACAAACAAAAAAACAAAAAAACAACTCAAAACATCTTTTAGGAGGCGTGGAGCAATTTTGCTATGTTTTGGGAACTGTCAGCCTCCTCTGGAGTTCCCCCCAAACCAATCAATCAAGGTACTGGGGAACCCCCAACCCTATGCTCTTCCCAGACCCAATGGAAAATGAATAATTTTTAAAAAATCAATCAATGAATCAAAGAGTTAAAAATCCTTTCTTTTAAACATTCGTTCAATTGACAACAGTCGATTGTAGCAACCTTACAATATACAACTCCTGCATTCACTTTCTTTTATTAATTTTTAAAAAAAAAATAGTACAGAAATCATATTCAAAATTTGGCCTTTAGGGTCCTGGCAAATCTGACAAACGGCTTCCGGCCTTTACTGAAACAGGCCTCCAAGAATTTTCTGTGTTTTTTTATTCTCATGCTGCTTTTAGCGCTCATTCACATGAGGGTTAAAACACACGCTTGCATTCATTGACTTCCAGAGAATTTTTCTGATCTTCTGGGAGTTCCAATGTGCAGGAATTAGCAGTAAAATTGAGGTTACTTTTTCAGTTATAATTACACCACTTTTACTTCCTGAAGGAAGGCCAACCTAACGACAAGTAAAATAGGCCACTTCTGCTTCTTGGCATCATGGTTTATCCAAAACCAGCACAGAGCTCCCTCTAATTTTTTTGAAAGGTTATTTTGCTCCTAATGTATGTTAAACCCTAACCCCAATGGCAAACGGTAAAGGGTTCAGGTCAATGATTTTTTCTCCCAGCCAGTGTTTGTCTGAAGATGAACCAACGCCAACCACCATGAACACAGTCTGTAGGTGAAAAGTGGAGACACCGTTTACAGTTCAACTACGTCATAAATGTTGGTCTTTTACCTCTTTTTTTGTCTGTGAATTCTATAACTAAGCCTGACTCCAGAAAACTAAAAGTTTCTGTCCTGGTGGATGAACGTTAACATCTTTCTGATGTTATTTTCTTGTTGCATTTTTATATTTTAACTTTTCATATTTGTGCGTATGCAATGCTCCAATAACCTGCCATGAATGGGGGGTGCTAAGAAAGTTCTCTCTCTCTCTCTCTCTCTCTAACATGAAATATCTCTGAAAACTGGGTACATCCTCCTTCCATATCCCCCAAAGAGCTTCTGACTCAGGGTGAGAAATTCTGCTAATTTCAAAAAAGGGGCCACGGCTAGATTTTTTTTTACAGAGTATTTCGGGGCCCCTAGTCCACAGACCCACAACTTCCAACTTGTATCCTTGAAATACATGGACATTCCTCCACTACCACAAGATCATAAAAGCACAACATAAAAAAGATAATAAATAAAGACAAAATGAAATGGAAGTGCTCAAACTCTACCCCCTGATCTCCACAGTCCCATGGAGGAAGGGAAGCCCCTGATTTGCTCTAGAACAAGATTCAGAGGGAATGATCTTTGCAATGCAACAACAAAAATGTGCCGCAATCTCCTTTAGCGAGACACCCACAGAGCGTCGTGACTAGCAATGGGAACGGCGCTCCCCTCCTCAAGGCAACACTTTTCTTGTCTGGGAAGCTTTCTGCTGCAGCTTTTGAATGAGCTCCAGTAGATTCATCTGGAGAGTCAGCTCCTGCAAACCAAACACAGGGTTTTAACTTCAGGCAGAGAATGTACTGATTTTCTCCACCCACCTAAAAAACGGCAATATTTGAGGCTGATGGTGAAGGGGCCTGCAGAGGCAGGCAGAGGTATAAAAAAAAGGCACCAGACCTTTCTTATCAGTAGCCACTTCCCTGGTTGCCTATGGTGAGTCTAAACAGTCACTAGGCGATCAAGAAGGGTTTCTTCTCTGTTTCAGCCCCCAAATAATTAACAGTAATGTGTGCAAAGAAAAAGAGGCATGCTAGTGGGCTAGGGGTAGTGACTCTATCCTTGCACTAAACGGTACGAAGCAGCTCACAATGAATCCGCCCTCCAGATGTCCCCATTTCTGAGGCTGACACCGCACGACTATTTTAATACCTCCTCTTAAGAGTGACAATAACAATTTTTTAAAAAAGGTTTAGCCAAGGGCAAGGAAGCTCTGGCGGTAGGAATCCAGCTATCACAGCAGGCCGAACAGGTGATGGATGGAATTAGCCTGGACAGCTCAGTGGCTTATAAGTTGCGAGTTCGATTTCCCCCCCGCTTGGATGGAATTAGCCTGGACAGCTCAGTGGTTTATAAGTTGTGAGTTCGATTCCCCGACTGGGCCTCTTTGACTAGAGCTGGACAGGATGATCCAGAGGGTCCCTTCTAGCTCTGCCATTCTCAGATTACATTATATTAAGCACCGAGGGGCGACCTCTGTTGCCTTTTAGGCTAAAGCCGTCACTTTCAAAGTCCAGTCTTCCCAGAGTGCTTCCCCCCCATCAACATGACTGCCAAGAAATGAAAGCTTCGAAGCAAGGCTTCTTGGGCAAATTCTGGGCTCCCACTAAGCCTCCTGTCTCTGTGGTGCCTGTTTTCCCTCGCCATTCAATATTCTGCTGCTCTGCCAGTTTCACTAGCTCCGTTTCATCACCAAGCCAATTCATTTTTGAGAATACGATTCATTTTCTCTCATCCTGTTTTTAGTTCAACCAGGGGACCGTTTTTTTTTCTCCCCCCCCCACCAACACTGGGGATGGGGTTCCCTTGGATTTTGCCACTGGACTCTGATGCCAAGCTGTTATCAGCGCCCTCCTCCTGACAATGTTATGATTGTTGTGAGTCCATCCTTTTAGGGTACGTTGCCATGAACCATCGTTCATAGGCGTACAACTCAGAAATGGAAGCAAGACGGCAGATGATCGCTGGAACTCAGAAGAAGCTACATTTCCTGCTGCAGGACAGACAAGTGGATGGTGAACACTCAACAGGGTGCAAAAGAGCGCCCTGAAACCCCTTGGAATTACAATGTTTAATTCATTTTCTTTTCAGGGCTTTGCAGACAGAAAAAAGAAAAACCTTCCCCACCCCCCACCCCCCAGACACAGACCTGTGGGTTGGTCGTGATGTAAAACCCAGAGACCCCAGCCTTCTCCAAAGTGCTTTGCTGATCCATCACTTTCTGGTCCAGCTCCAGGACTATTTTCTTGTCCACCATCAGCTGCTCCTCGTGTATTCGCTGCTCCATGGCCTGAGGAAAGGCGGGGAAGAGAGCAAAGGGACTCAACACGACACAAAGGAAAGAGCTCAACTTCACATTGTTTCCGGTTTGGAAGAGGACGGGAAAAAGATCTGCACTGTTTTGGAAAAGGTATCACACCTGTGGAAGTGGTGTTGGTGGCGGGGGTCCTTGGAAAAGCAAAGAACTGCCCCATGAAGCTGCCCACCCCCTTCTGCCTCTGTTTTCCAGGTACAGAATTCACAAAAGTGGTGAATTCCCCTTCTTTCTTTTTTTTCAGGGGACGCCCTGAAACTGTGCAGCTTGTGCAAGGCCACCCAGGCTGGCTCTTCTAATATCCACAGTGGGGAATGGAAATCTATGGCTCTGCAGAGAGATACATAACTAAAGTACTGAGCTATGGGAAAGGAACTCTACTCTGAAAGAAGCACAGGATCTGCAATACCTCCTAGGAGCCATTCAACGGGTACCCCAGAAATGCAAGGGAAAGATTCCCCGCTCATTTCTCTGGGTCCAGGCTGCCTGGGAGTGAGGGGCCCCTTACCTCCAGTTCCCTCTGCTGGGCTGCTTTGAGGAGGGGCAGATTGTGTGCCCTGCAGCTCTGCTGGGCTTCCCGGTGTTTATGGAGCATCTCTTGCTTGAGGGCTGGTTGGGAAGGAAAGAAGGAAGATGTCATTTTGGAAGAGAAAGAAAAAGAAAGAGGAAGGAAGGAAGGAAGGAAGATGTCATTTCATTTTGCATCATTAGAGAAGCACAGGATCAGCTTCATTGCATGTTCAGAAGCGGTCTCTGTCTGTTCAGGAGAAACCAGGATTTGATTGGGGAAGGATGAACAGGAGCCAAACTGCCCTGCTGCTAACCACAGTGGACCTTATTTCCCCTGGGCATCACCTGCTACAAGGAGAAATCCTGACACAGTTTATCTTCCAATAACGTTAAAAAAATATACAGCCCTGCTAACTGGTCGACTGGCTAAAGAGCTGATAATCTGAGCAATCCCAACAACATCCCCTCCATGGAAGGGCGGAGGGAAAGGGACCCCTTGGCCCTGGGTGAAGCCACCTCCGACAAGGAACACCACAGATGGTAGCAGGCTTGGCTAGTGATGCATGCTGGGGACCCGGGCCTTCTTGCCTCGGTGCTCATTGTGCAACTTCAGCCGCTGGTTGTAAAGGTTTCTCTCCGTCAAATGCTGGATCTCCAGTAGGCCCTGGACAATCTCGAAGACGGTCCCGTCCAGGAGAGCTAAAGCCAGGTCACTGAGGATGGTGTACGAGAGACGCTGCTGGGAAGAGCTGAAAGGGGGGGGAGGAGAAGAACAACAGATGGGCAGAGTCACAAGGTGTACCTTGAAAACCTCTGGGAAGGATCACCAATAAGTCAGCCACGCTGCTGGGAAGAGCTGAAAGGGGGGGGGGAGGAGAACAACAGATGGGCTGAGTCACAAGGTGTACCTTGAAAACCTCCAGGAAGGATCACCAATAAGTCAGCATTCATTCATTCACTCTTCATTCATTCACTTGTTCATTCATTCATTTTTATTCGCTTTGATGCTGGAGAAGAGTAATTCAACTAGGGACAGAGGACACAGGCTTTTTCCGGGACTTCCCTGAGTTTATGATACAGATACTGAGAAGGTGCTGGTTGATTCGGCATTTGCACCTCTGGCTGATGGCTCAACCCAATGTGTTCCCAGTCTGAAAACTGAAAACAACTGTCTGGCACTTCTTAAAAGCCTACAAGCAAGTTCATGAAAGCTGTGTTTCCACTTCTGAATCCAAGCACTGCGATCTGAAAATGTTTTGCATCCGCCTTATCCTGACCTAAGCGGTGGCCCACAGGCGAGAAACCACAGCCCCTGACTAAGAGACAACCAAACTTTTTAAAAAGGGAAGGTGAGCAATCTGTGAAGGGAGGTGGAAATGTTTCTAGTAATGCATTTTTTTTCAAGGAAAAAAATCTATTTCAAAATAACAACGATGACGAGGATAACAATGTACTTCTTATTTCTCAGCACTGCTGGAGTACAGGGCCAGACCGAAGGGTCCACCCTGAAAACTAAGACTGAAGTCCTAAAAATTAACGGCGTGAGATGACACGCTTGCAAGATTTAGGGGGGTTGGGGGTTTCTGAAAGCAAAGGATCTACTACTGGCCATTGTTTTAAATGGGTAAGCCAAGATTTTGAACTGCTGAAATTAGTTCAGAGAAAAGAACAGCTTGATATCACTGCTATGTTCTTCACTTTCTTGACTTAACGTTTGATACTTTACTATTTCTGTACTATCTGCACATTTGAGAAACTCTGATTTCCATAAGATGCTCTTCTTTGCTGCTTATCTAGAAGCATAATATTGGGTTTTGCACGATCAAATGTTCTATCCCTGATCCTCTGCCTCTCCAAGTACAGCACTGTGGTTCCATTTTTTTTTTAAAAACTGGAGGAGGCTGGAATTTATAATATGTAGGAAAATATGTGAGTAAACCCTAAGATTTAGCCAACTGCTGAAAAATAATCTTGGCAACGTGGTTAAGCCCGCACATTGTTTCTTTGGATTCATGAGAGGCCATAAGCAAATCTTTGTTGCATAATTATTTTCTGATAGCATCTAGTCTGAATAACTTGGTCTTGTATTGTGCATAATAATTTGAATTTCAGCCTGAAGGCAACCTAATTTAAGTCAATTGCTTCTTATTGACATTTTTATCCAGGAGGTAACTAACCTATGTGAGAGTTTTCCATGCCATGCATTCCTCCTAACTGCTGTTCATTTGGTTCCTGAAATTAAAAAATGAGTGATTTTGCAAACATGTCATCTCAGATTTTCAAGACTTGACTGCTAATTTTAGGCTTGACCTTCTGGTCTGCCCCCATGCACTGCTGGGTAATAAGGTTAATTATAATAGTTTCATAAAATTAATAAGCAACAAGGAACGGATAGCAATACATTAGGCTAAACTGCCAGTTTGAAAGTTGGAATGCATGTTTTCGAGGTGATTGATAACTCCTAAGAAGTGCGTGTAATAATAACATACATTTTACTGATTTGTAAAGTGGAGGGGTTAAATAAAACAAAATAATTCAAACCAATACTATGTTATACATTCACCTTCTGGCTACATAAGTCAAATCAAAACTAAACTAAAACTATGTACCATTTTGTTGAAAGCTTGTTTCTCTTTCCAACAAACACACATAAATAGTGTCTCTTTTGCCTTTAACCTTAGGAAGTGGAAATGTGTGTTTACATAACATTGATTAAAAAGGCTTTTTTCTTCTTCTGAATAAGCCATAAAGGTTTAACTAGCAAACAAACACGGTGTGGCATAATTATAATGAAACCACTAAAACAGAAGGAGGGAGGTTAGGAGCTTATTGTGGGCAACAACCAAGATGAAGCACACAATGCCGTAAAAATTTAAAGTGCAATATTTTAATAAACATTCGATTCCACATAAAGCTTCAAATTTATCCCAGTGTACTTCAAGCACATTAAATGTGCCTTATCTTCGTTTCCAATCTAGCATTTCAGTCCAAAACCAGATATGATGAAGCAGAATGTCTACTAAGGACACAGAGGAAAACAATTTTGGGTAAATTGCGCAGATAATCTTCCAGTTCAAAATTTGCTGGAAAACACATGCCACTGTTTTGCAATAAATATTTTGGACCTTCTGGCTCAAGCGGGGTTCCCAGAAGCACCAAATGCAAAATCTTCCCCCCTTTTTTTCAAGAGTTCACACATATTTGCGAAGAAAGTGACCCAGGCAGGCTGCACCACAGAATATTTCCTGAATATTTGTCAATTTGGGTTAAATGATTTGCACAGCACTGTCACCCCCCCAAAAGCAATAAAATAAAATAAAATAGCAGTACTAGGAACACCAAGCACGCTACTCTGATATTTAACGGAGACTGCATTTTTTGGGGTTGAAACCTGGGTCTGTTATCTAGTGCACCGTCAAAGCCTGTGTTTTGTATTTAATAATAACAATAAAAGCATTTATTCCAGCTTGCCCCCCAAGTGGCGGGGAGGGCTGGGCGAAGGATCCTCCCTCCCCTTGGCCCTCCCTTTCGTCCCTAGGGCTCCCTGGTAGACTGCCCCTGCCCAGGGAAGCTCCACGAGGGACGCCGCAGGGCGTGGAAAGGGATCGGTCCGCAATCTTTGCAGAAGAAGAAACGCCTAAAATGCCCGCCTCGGAACTGATGGAGCCCGGGCGGGGGGAACCTGCCCGCTTCCTCCCTTCCCCGCCGGGCTTCTCCCTCCCTACCTGGGCAGGTCCTTGACCAGGGCCTGGAGCTCGGACAGGAGCTGGTAGTGGCGGGCCTGTTGCCGGGCCTGCCGGTCGCTGCCGCCGCCGCCGCTGGTGGTGGGGAGGCT